CCTTTATGGCGTCCATTAGATGGATCCTACCATTCTTTCAGATAGATTAGCATATGTTTATAAATTTGGATTTACTCTTCATAAAGCATTCCTCACACTAAGTGACCATTCAAACAATTCAAGTGCTTGGGGAAGGATGACTTGAAAACTTTAGAGTTAAGGCTAGTTAAAGTAGATAATACCCATATCAAGAATGCATTTGAGACCATATTTTTAGGGTGATTAATTATTGGCCTAGATCGTCATTTATTGCTCAGGTGTAAAGCACATGGGTTTATCGTGTGACTTGTGCCACATATATACACACACATACACACGCACGCACACAGAAACCACCACACATGAGTTCAAAATTTTCATAGTAGAATTTGAAATTTTGAAAGAAAATGAAGGATAAAAAGGTTACAAGGTATCTTTTAGTCTTTCTGAAAAACTCAAGATATGTTTAAGTCCATTTAAGAAAACTCAAAGTATATTAAGTGTTTTACCCTTAATAAGCATGTTTTTTTTTTTGTATTGAACTGATAGCATGGCTGAGCCACCACTCAATTGATAGGCAAGCATGTGATTGTGTATGTGTGCATGCAACTATGCAGTATGAATATGCATCAATAATTTTAAAGGTAAATTACAACAGCCACCCTATACAACTATATTTCAGGAGACAATGACATTTAAACTCCCAAACTTTGTTTTACAACAAAGACCCTCCTCAACTTCTGAATCCCAACATTTTATCCTTGTCATCATCATTTTGTTTGTAAATTTCATAGAATATTCCTTTCAACATTTCTAAAACTTCAAATTACCCTTATTTCATTTTACGATATTACTTTGCTTTTTTTAACCTAGTTTTTTTCCTAAAACCCCAATTCTTACATGTTTCTCTCGACTTTCTTTCAAAGTTCATATTAAGGATGCCTTAAGAATGATCGGTTCATCAATGTCTTGAGAACAATTTGTACTCTATAATGCTTATTTTCATCATTTTGATATTTATTATTGTTAGCCCATAGAATTTTAAATGGGTAATTAAGTATAGTTTTACTTTCACCACCAATCAACTCTAATTTTTTGTGTATTAGGTTGGATTACGACCCATGTATGCATTAAAAATATGGACTACTAACTAGGGCTGTTCACGGGTCGGATTGGGTCGGTTTACAGGGATTTTCCCAACCGACCTGACCTAGTCGGGTTACATGAGGTGGAAATCAAAACCGATCCACTGATAGGCAAAACCGACCTGGTCGGTTTGAGTTGGGTTGAGTCAGTTTCGGTTGGTTTTGGTTTTGCTCCTGTACAAAAATGATAGAGAAGCCTAGAACTAGAAAGACACCTAATTCTAATTGTAATTGCCTAATGGGTTGCCTATTTGGTGTAAAAGACTATAGAAATTAGGATAGATACAATTTAGTTAAATAAGAACTAGAAGATAGGGTTGTTCTAGTTCTAGTAGAAGACTAGTTAAGTAGAAAACTAGGAACTACCGAACTAGAAAACTAATTGGTTCGGTTTGGTTCGGGTCGGTTTCGGTTTTCACATAAGAAAACCGAAACCGACCCGATATATCG